TATATATTCCTCAACATATACACTTGCAGAAGTGCATATTTCAGATTTGTCATCTTTTTTCTTTAGCACTACATGATTTCAACTATCTAATATTTGAGCTCTTTTAAGATATTATCTTATTTGTTTTAATACGATCTTATTTTAATTATTCATCCTTAAGATGAATATTATTTTCATTATTTATTATTAAAACTATTAAAATTTAAATATTTTTATCTTTCCAAAATATTCTTATTGCAGCTGTTTAATGCATCCTCCTTTGGTCATGAGCCTCTATTAATTATTAATCTTGCAGTATAAAAGTTGTGATAAGAAATAATAAAGGACGTTGCCTAATGAAATCAAGTTTATCCCTCAAATTATGTATTTTTACCTGTCACCATCCCAGCACTTAGAAGTGACTTTTTCTCTGTGAGTTTCTCTCTCTATCCTCTTTCCTGCACAGAGGCAACCTTGACCACACACACAAACACAACAGAAAGTGCCAGAGAGGGAAAACGATAAAGCAATGAAAAGGTGAAGACAACATAGAAATATTTAAATTATTTCAATAAAACACCTAATGAAATAATTATTGTTAAATGACTATTCCACTTAATACATCAAAATTTTTTCTGATGGGGCTTTTTTTTCCTTAAACTAAAAAGGGATAATCAAAATCTAATAAAATTAAATAATCTATAAAATATTTCTTTTAATATTTAATAATTTAATATTCCTGTTTTGTAAGGGTAACTGTCTTACAATTTTGCTCCCTCCATAATTTTTTCTTTCTTCCAAACATTGTTATTTATGCAAGGATGGCTTATATTTGCAAGGCATATATTTTAAAATTTTCATCCCTATGTTTTTTTTATTCTACGAGTTATACAACTAATACTTATGAAATATGTCCTATTTTAATATCCAAAATGATTGAAGCTTATAACCAAGAAGTTTCAATCCATCAAAGGATGTTTAAATAATACTTATGAAATATGTCCTATTTTAATATCCAAAATGATTGAAGCTTATAACCAAGAAGTTTCAATCCATCAAAGGATGTTTAAATAATACTCATGAAATATGTCCTATTTTGATTTCCAAAATAATTGAGAAGCTTATAATCAAAAAGTTTCAATCCATCAAAGGATGCTTAAATAATACTCATGAAAATATGCCTCCAGATTATTAGTTATTAGTATTTAGTGAGTTATTATTTCGTCTTTGGTGTTACATAATGATAAAAGTTGGCCAATTTCATGATTTGTTAATGTTATTCATTTTTTATTTTTTTAAACAATTTGGACATCATTATTAAAAATTAAAGCATTATTGAAACATTAATAACATTCACATAAAAAATAATAGAAGTGTATGTCTATTTATTTAATTTTAACTTTCATTTTGGAAGTAAAAAAATATCAAGATGAAATTAATTTTAGTGTGTTATTCATGTTGATTTTTAAAAATTATATTGATGTGTATTTAGTGCACGTGTGATTGAACAAGTTTTTGAGAAATATTAATACTTAGGGTTTCTATTGGAGCTTTTTAGAAAGATAGCAGTACGAATGCTAGGAATGGTAATTGACCATTCAGGATTAAATCTTCTTTTACCATTTCTATATTTGAATAATTTAGTTGCCTGTGGAGAAAAGAAATAATTTCATATCTCATTTAAATAAAGTAATAACCCTCAACACAAAACATGCAATCATTGATTCATTATTTTCATTCCATAGGGAGTGATGTGATCGGGATGTAGAAACAGTTGACAATTGTTAGTAACTATAGTTCTTTTTTCATGGTCACCTAAATTTGCATTTGGTTAATGTCCCAAGTTTTGAGTTTTTAAATGCAACCATCTTCAAAAGAGTATATTTTTCATTCGTTTCGTTCCTGTGACCCATCATTTGTTTGTAGGGTTCTGGAGGCATTACTATCAAGAAAACAAATCTTGCTCTGATAATTGGCATTTATGATGAGCCGATGGCTCCAGGGCAGTGCAATGTGATTGTGGAAAGGCTTGGGGATTATCTCATTGAACAGGGATTTTAAGTATTGTGTTGTGCTTGTCCTTTTCATTTGCTTTGATGGATTATTGTACTCTTCGTCATGGGATTGCATCTAAAGTTCTACACCATGCATGTGTTTTTCGCACGAAATAATCTATTAAAAATGTGTTGGTTTTGCGTGGGGGAATTGCATTTAAATATGTATCTTTGCCCCCACTTCTGGTCAGAGTTGCTTTTACTTGCTGGCTATGCATTTCTTTTTTAATTGGGTTGTGAGTTTTATGAGATGAAATTTTATATGATGCAAGTATTCAAAACTTTTGTTTTTTTAAGTTGTATTTATTCAGGACCATTTTCTCGTCTTCATAGTTTTGAGATATGGCTATCAGCTTCAATGTTTTTTGCAAAGATTATTTCCTGATTGTTGCTTCTTTAGCTTTGCCAAATGTTGTACTCGAATCATTCCACTTCGACAAGGAGATGCCGTATTGTAGTTTGCATGCTTTGATCGACAGGAAAGTCATCAACTGGAATAGGAGCAGCAAATTTGTAATGTCTGTCAGCCGAGTATAGGGTGAAGCAATGCCAGTAGTGTATGATCAAAGAGGAAGTTGTTACCCTTGCTAGGATTAGTGTTGATAAGAGTACCCAAAACTGAATAATAGCTTGAATTTTGTCTGTTTTTTAGTCAAAATTGTTGAATAAAAAATTTTGTGGGCCACAATTGGATTTGACTGCAAAGATTTGTGTGTGAGAGAGAATATGGGACAAAACGCTATGCCTTGGGCTTGCCTTTTAATTTTTATTTATTGATGGGCATTAAGTAAATTTTTAAGTAACATTTAAGAAAAAAATTCTGAATCATGGAGTATAGAAATAAGGATGATTTGTTAGCTATAGGTTTTTTTTGCAATAGATATGCTTTAATATATAATTTCCAATTGGGAGTGGGATTGTTTGAAGTTGTTGTCAACTTTATTCGCTTTAGCCTGGGCATGTATGATATTGAATGCTTTGTATTGATTTGCCCAATCAGTCTCTAGGGCTAAGTAAGCAGGTGAGTAATAGGCGCTCTGTCATTAGGTCCAATAAAGGGTAAGCTCTATGTGATGATGGGGACTTAGGGTATGTTTGGCACAATTTTTTTGTTGCGTTGCTTTTTAGACCACCACAATGTTTGGGGAATTTTTTTCTAGCCATATTTTAAAAAGTTGTGGAAAATTATTCTTTTTCAACCTAATCTATCAATGTGTTGTGACTGCAAAAAAATTGTTGTCTAATTTTTTGAAATTAAAGTAAATTTGTAATAGCTAATGAAACTTTTTGAACAACAATTTTTTCTACAACAGTTTTAGAATTGTTTATTCAAACGGTTACAGCTTCCCCAAATAGACCCTTAATTTACCTTAGAATTGAGGGAGTAATCGTTAATAGAATTGAATTTATTCTCATTGTTCAATATTGCGGCTAATTTCTCTTAATTGGTTGAGTTGACGTAAAGTGAATTTCAATTATTTTAAATATTGTTTACATTCTTGGTACATTTACTTTTTAATTTTCTTAAAATGATAAGAAAATTTTAAATGTTATTCAAACCAATGATAACATTATATAGAGTTAATTTGAGTCAATATGACTTCATATATTATAACATTATGAGCATTTATTAATATAGACAAATGACCATTCTAAGAGTTTCCTGTTAGCCTTTTCCTTTGCGTTTTGTCTTTGCTAGATGTCAACATAAGATGGTTGAGAAGCAAGTTGTCCTTTTAACAAAACTCTCTATTGAGCCCCATGATGTAGAGGAAAAGGAGAGCTTAAGGTATTAATAAGATGATTTATAAGGAGAGGATCTTGATTTTATCTTGAATAAGGAGATTTTCCTTTATAAGAATACTATCAACTATGCTTCCTTGGTTGAGGCAATGAGTCTTGGTTATCGAACTTTTGTGACTGACAAGGTAAAATCAAAAATGGGTTAGCTTTGCTTCATCCAATTATGTGGTTTTGAGATGTATCTCGATTGATCTTTCTAATGAATCATTAAAGGTGGCGCGTGTTGAGGTGAATTTGGCCAAAATAATTCCAGAAGCTTCTTCTCCTAAGAGCTCCGTAAGGGTGGATTAGCAACAATATCAAATAGTTGCACCCACCCAGATTAAACAACCTCCTCAACATGAACTTCTAGAAGATATTTGGGCTAATGGTGATGAATATGCTTTTGCGTAGAGTGAGGGGATTAATATTGTAATTTTGTGGCCCTTGTATTTTAATGTGGTGAGGGCTAACGATATTGTTTAAAACCCTATCCCAATCACGCAGGAAGGAAAGGAGAAAGTGGGAGAGTGACTTGATCCACAATTACATTAATATTTATATTTCTTAAAATTATCAAAAACTTGGCGCAAATTATATTTAGCGGCTAGGGTGAATGAAATAATTTTGAAAATAGATAACAAACCTTCACACTAGATGTACTATGCAAGTATATGTATCGTTTCAAGTAATATAAGATTTTTCTTAAAAACCCCAGTATCGATCTTACGTGGAAAGCAAAAATTCTTATTATTGACTTGAAAAACTTTTTTCTAAATTGCAGATAAATATGATAGGAGAACATTATTGAAATGTTGGTAACAGTTTAATGCTAAATTTAGGTAGAAAATAAGAACAAAGTTTAAAAAAAACTAGCAATGAAGAATTCTAGGTGAAAATGACCAGTTTGCAAAGTCAATGAAGAACCGGTGAAAATACAATCACAATGTTTTAAAATAAAAATAAATTTTTAAATTATTCTCACCCCACAAGATTAATTCCCAAATACAAGGAGAAAGAAAGAGAACTACTCAGAATTTATGTAGATAAAATAAAAACACATGATTTGTATTGAAAGCTAAGTCTTACAACAGAAAATTAAACACAAATACAAGATACTTATCTTTAAGTCTTCTCCCCAAGCAAATCCTAAATTTTCCTTGAAGCAATCTCTAAATTCTTACACAAAACAAAGACCCTCACTCACACACACTAAAACCTTCAAGAAGTCCTCTCCAACAAACCCCCTAAAAAGACTCTTTTTCGTCCAGAATTTGGCCCTATTAATATATAACTAAAAATCCCCAAGGGTCATTTCAAGCACCATTCAAAATTCACCCAAATTCAATGAATATTCTAGAAAGTTGGTTACTGGCGCTATAGCGCATATCCTGCTCGATACCTGGTTTTATGGCGCCAAATGTGGCACTATGGCGCCATTCAAAATCTTCCATTTTTGCTTCATTTTGTTCTCATTTTATATAGATGTCCATTCCATGCACTTAAAACCAAAAACATACGAAACACCTTCCTTTAAAGTTTATCATAAAAAATATGCATAAAATGAGCATGAAATGTACACTAAAATCAGGTAATATTTGGTGGATCAATTCCGCCAAACTTAAACGTTACTTGTCTTCAAGTAACTTTTTTTACGATATAAGAAGTTATAACTTATGGTAGTGAGCTTTACTTAAAAATTTCTATAGTTTTTGTTCTATAAAAGCAATAGTGAAACTTTAGAAAAATTTTCAATAAATGTAAGAATATCTAGTAGTCAAGTCTAAGAGTTCTAAGTTCTTATTCATTTTGAGAATGACTATAATTTGTCATACCAATTCATAGTAATTAATACAAAAATCTGCATATTAATATTCTAATATTCTATATATATATATATATATAGCTTTTCTTTCTCTTTTGAATTTTCTTTTCTTTCTTTTAGGATCATTTTCAATTTTTTTTCTTTTCATGTCATGTGAGGATTACTATCTCTGGATAGCCTTTAATGATTTTGAAATTTGCCTTCCTCTTCTTACAGTTTAAAACTTCCCACATTTCCTTACTTTATAAATGTTTATTAGCTTTGAATTTTTTTTTTCATAAAGTCTCAATTCTTCCTTTTAAGTGTAAAAATCTAAAATCCTTAATATTTCAAAAAATATAATTTTCTTTACTTTAAATAATAAAAGCATAATCTTATACTTTTATACTAAATATCTTAATTCTAGAACTTACCTTTATTATTAAAAATTTTTACTCAAGTCTTCTATAACATTTATAAAATAAAAAATATAGTTATCTATAGTTATCTAAAGTTATAGTTATCTAAAGTTAACCCAACATACCATAGGTTACGTTAAAATAATTTTTGAAAATATAGTTTATAGAAGACAAATAAGGTTCAGTTTCAGTTTCAAAAAATTTTTCTCCCTTCCCCCAAACTTAAATTTTTAATTTATTTAAAACATTACAATTCATATTAAGCATGAAGAAAGAGAAAAATTTAAAAGTTATAAACAAGAGAACAGTACATGTATAAGTTATAAAAACAAGTGTTGAGCAACAAAAAATCTAAAATTAGCATGTATAATAATAAAAGCACAAGTAAAAGACTACTCTAGCACACTAATAAGATAAATTAGAGCAAAAAGTAAACGGTAAATAATAGAACAAAAAGGTGCGACATAATAGTTCAATATAAATGCACTCCCTAAGTACTAAACAAAGTACAAACATAGCATTCCAACAAAAGTACACGAAATAACTAACGACAAAAAATCTAATATAAGAAATAAAGTAAAAGAAAAACAACGACCTATTAATCATCTTCCTCATCATCATCTTCCAGATCTACAACCTCCTCCATCTCGCTAGTCCCATATGGTGTAAAACTAGGGCAAGTAGGATATTCTACTGAATGATCTCTCCTCATGAATTTCACCATAGCCTCATGATAAGCAATATCAAAATCAGCTCTCTTCTGTGCATATTCATCACTATGGTACAAGTGAGCTTCTGAGCTTTTCACTTGATTCTATAATGAAAAAATATCTCCTTGTTGTATCCATTACAATATCCAGTGAAGTAGTATTAGAAGTGGAAGGTCTAGAAGCTTAAGCTGAAGCTGAAGTTGAAGGAATGTCAGAACCTCCACTCCAAGATCTTGATCTGGAATGCTTTCCATAAATCTCCAAATCAGTTATTCCAATAGGCTTATGAGATGGTAAAATGTCCTCCCATGTCTCATATTTAACCCCATATTATATGCACATGGTGGAAATAAGAGAAAGGTATCCCATACCTTTAGTAGTTCCTCCTCTTGAAAAAAAAATCATTTTCTTGTAAATGAGAGAGCCAATGTCAATAGGTTTCTTCATTTGAATGCAATAGTTCAAAATGAATCTTTCTCAGGTTACCTCACTATAATAATTAGTTGGAAGAAGTATACTAGAAATGAAGTAATGCAAAGCACACGAATGAACGTTAAGCTTTGAAAATGAAAAGTTTACCCGCCGTCTATTCTTTATCTTC